CCGCCCCCTGTTCGCAACCAGGGCCATGAGGGGGAGGACTCCTCGAGCCCCTTTGCCCCTCCGGGCGAGGAGCTCGGACTTTTGACCCGCGTGGAAAAAAGATTTCTACCTGGGGTCTCGACCCTGGAGGCGCCGGCCGGCGACACCATCACCAGACGAGCGCCGGCCGCTAGTGATAGCCGCGCCACGCACGCGACGCGGCGGCGTTTCCTCACGGTACGTGAGTGTTGGTGGCGCTGTCGGTGGCAGCGCCACCGCAGGCATGGCACGGTGCGCTTGCCGCCTGGACGCGGCGCCACAGCCGTGCGCGCGATGACGAGCGCCTGCGGCGCATCGCCGCCACGATCACGGCACACCGTGAAGTGACACGCGACGTGGCGTTTCCTCACGGCACGTGAGTGTGCGGTGGTGGCGCTGTCGGTGGCAGCGCCACCGCAGGCATGGCACGGTGCGCTTGCCGCCTGGACGCGGCGCCACGGCCATGCGCGCGATGACGAGCGCCTGCGGCGCATCGCCGCCACGATCGTGACGCACCGTGGAGTGAGGTCGGGAGAGAGCAGGGAGTGTGTAGTGAGAGGCGCAATGGGCCCACCGAGAGGCGCCGCACCGCGTGCTTCAATGGGACGTCCACGAGCGAGGCAACGGCGAGCCAACGGCACCGTCCGCCGCAGAGCGCCAGCGCGGCGCGCCGAAGCAGCGAGGAGCCGCGCGCCGCCGCCCAGCGGCGCCTCGCAACAGTACACTCCGCACCGAGCAGTCGTCGAGGCTCTGCCGGGTGAAGTCACAGCCTGTTTGCATCGCCGACGCATGGCTCAGACGCGTGCGGCGACGCTGCTGGGTCCCTCCGTGTGCCTGGGAGTGCGTGGACCGGCAGCTAAGGCTGTGGCGGATGGCTCGCCGGCGACTCGCTCGACGCTCGCAGCACTCGGCGGCGAGGAGGCGGCGCAGCCGAGTCGCGTCGCGAGCCACCGCTCGGGCCTGCTGGCAGCCTGCTGCGGACCCTGTGGCACCCGCCGGCCACGAGTGGAGCCGGGAGGAGGCCACGGGGGCGCTGCAAAGGCGGCGGCGGCGGCCATCCTGCGGCGTGTCGCGCCAGACGAGTGGGGGCTAGGGGGGTTGCAATCACGGACGGACACCTCACGGACCCCACAGCGGTCTCGTCCCTGCCTCGCCGGCGGCGAGATTGCTAGAGGCGGAGCAAGCCTGCTCCAGTCTCACATGTTACTTGCTGCCGTCTGTTGTTTGTTGTGGCCTTGTTTGTTCCTTTGGCACCTTGGAGTGCTGGGGGGGGCGACAGGGAGGGAGGATGAACCAGGATGTGGCCCTGCCTGAGTTATGTGTACGCCGACTCAGGGTGTGTGGCAGCCACGCTGGCTGTGTGTCTTGTGAGCTTGTTTTGTGTCTGTGTGTCGCTCGTGCGTGTCGTCATCATCTGTCCCGCGTCCACCCATAACGCGCTGGTGTCCAGTCCGAGCCTGACTGTTCTTCACCTTTCTACCTACCTACCTCAGAGAGAGGGGGAGGGGTCTGAGGCGGGGGCCCAGATCTGCTCGTCTCAGAGGGTACCCTCTGTGCCAAGAGAGGCCATCCACGAGCGGCTCAGAGGGTACCTGGGCCGACCCTCTGAAGGCCTGTGCCCCCAAGCAGCCTCTCTCGGCGCAGCCTCTGAGGCTACGGGGACCCTCTGAGACGCCAAGGCAAGCCCCGCGAGGCCGCTCCTCAGAGGGAGTTTTCAGCGGTATTTCAAGTCTGTCGTGATCCCCCACCAAGGACCAAGCAGCAAGAACCCCCCCCAGCAGGCCCAGCTTCCATTGGTTTCGGATACCTCAAGTTCGAGTTCACTAGGACGCCGCGGCGCCTCATGGCCAAGCTGGAGCAGGGGACGGATGTGGAGATCACTACCTCCTCCTCGGGCGGCCGCTCCAAGCACATCCTCACTCAAGTTGACGGGTCGGCGGCGCCGCTGGCCGCGCGAAGCTGTCGCACGCGCAGGGCTCGGTGCGGGCGCTGTGGGCGAGCCTGCAGCAGCAGCAAGCGGCGTGTGTGGTGCCGGGCGCTCGAAGCGTATAGAATAGCGCCTTAGTCAATGCTCGCTGCTTCCGCCCCCTCCCCGCCCTCCCTGGTCAGCGCCGTTCGTGGAGGGCTAGGCGCTCCG